ACCTAGCGGGGTAACGAAACATTTGCAAGAAAACAGCCAAGCTCAGAGAACCCCAAGGACTCCACAGTTCAACCCAGAGTTACACATATTCGCTTCTATTGGAGCCATGGTCCTGTGTTCCTACATCATGCTCACCTAGGCCAAAAATACCACAGACAACTTACTTGCCACACTCACTCAAGGAAAGAGCCAGCAGTCAGTTTTTAATCATAAACCTGTATAAGCATGATGTGGAAATGTGGTCAGAGCAGAAGCTGAAAAAGTCTTCCAGGGCAGAGACAGAAGTGAAAGATGAGAAAGCAGCAAAATAAAACTTAGCATGCCTAAGATAGGATATGTAGTCAACAAGAAATGGGCATTAGACTGTCAACCTCAGTCACAAGCACCTAATCTAATAGGGATAGCAACAAGTTAAATCCAAGAATTTGTGATGCTAAATATGAGTATGCAGGCATCATGGATCATGAGATCAATCTTTCTCACTAAAACACACACATCTTTTTCATATACATGCTGCTGGATGTAATCACACTTAAGGGAGATCAACTGAAATCAGGAGGATTTGTCATGACTAAGGCCTTGCTGATTTAAATGGGTCTACCTTTAGTATGACTATCTCTGAATCCAATTCGTGACAAAGAACATAGGAATGTTTTCTACACTGGAAATAAAGATTCATAAGTACTAATGTTTTCAAACTGAATTAAAACCTAGAACTATCATAACTACAGAAAACCTAAAGAAAATAATTATTAAAGCTGTACATTAAATTCTTTAAATCTGATATGTTATTAGCCACTCAGTCATGAATTAGAGATGGGCAGCCATATGAATTGAAATAAATAAATGTATTGTAATAATAACAAACATTTATTTGTATGTCTAATAATAAATAAAAGATTGGTATACAACAGGAATCTGAGTATGACACCAAATGAACCTATCATTTCTGTGTGGAGGCATATAAAAATTACCAGTCGGCAATTCAGTAAATAAAATTATCGCATTGATCAATGAAGAAAAACAAGAGACAAAAGTAGATCAGGTAGTCCTCGGGTTATGAGCATTCATTCAGTGACTGTTCAAAGTTATGATAGCATTCAATGAATGGTACCTATGATGAGCCCTCGTGGTTCTGGATGTCGCAGTGTCCCTGCAGTCATGTGATTGCAATTTCTGATGTTTCCTGCCAGCTTCCCACAAGCAAAGTCAATGGGGATGCCAGCAGGAAGTTGGAAATCGTAGTCACATGAGGTCCTTGCTTAACGGCAGCAACCAGGACTGCTGGAATTGCTGTCGCTAAGAGACACAGTCACATCTTTATGACCATGTCACTTAGTGACAGAAATTCCAGTCAATTGCTAATTGCTATCATAACCTGAGGACTACCTATCTTGTAGCTGAGGGAACACATATAACATCCTTAAGACAGCTATTGAAAGAGAAGACATGGTAAAACACCCAGCTGGGTTCTTGGCATCTACACTGCATTCCTAAATTACAGTCATAACAAAAAGAGGGTAATAAATTTTGTAAATAAGTAAAAATAAAATTTGGTCTTAACAGAAGGAAAAGGTAATTATTCTATAATATTACCAAAGAGCAACAACCCTGCAGTTTTATTGCAGCATAAAAATTTAAATATTAGTATTTAAAAATTCAAGAAGAACATTTTACATGATGTAAAAAATTATATAAGGTAATTTTGGAGATAAAATATTGCATAAGATTGATCTAGAAATATAACATTTCTAGATGTTCAGAGCAACAACATTTTTTACTCAAATTTGAAGAAAAATAGTATGGAAGTACTCTTCAGTTGTAAAGTCACTCTTTACAAAGTATGTAAAATATTCTTAAATAAAACTGAAAAATATAGTTGAATCATGCAATAATCACACATTTATTGACTGAATTTACTTTATTTTTAACATTTTTTGTTGCAAATGAAACTAGCACCTTTAGGAATTTAGCATCTTTTATTGTTGCCAAATAGCTCATGCTGAAAACAAGGAACCTAAACATTATACTTGAAGAAAAATGTTATATATTATGGAGTTTGTTTTCTATTACCTTGAAGACCTGGCTCACTTGGCCTGGGGCGGGGAGGGAATATCTCAAGCAGGGAGATGGCTAGCCCCATAGTAGCTGGCTGTCCCCGGCCCAATGTTCCATCTTCTTA